TATGGAGGGCCCTTTCTGAAATTACTTACCTGGCAGGGGAGACACCTTGATCATGGAGGGCCCTTTCTGAAATTATCTAGCCTGCAGCTCTTTCTCCATCTCCAAAGATCATCTCATTCCTACATATCATTATACACACACACACATTATACATAGGAAAACTATTTTAGTGCATTGTTTTATTCTTGAAGGATGACTTTTGCTTACTGCCAGAATGTGTACAAAGAATAGGTATTAAATATTATTCATACAGAGAGTAAGTACAGTCAAATAGGACTTAATTTTCTATTTGTGCAATTTCAAATGTTGATTTAATCTAGTTGTGTTTAATTATTAAAGTATTCCATTCTGTTAGGTATTAAATATGATGCTGAAAAAGAAGAAAAGCAACAGCTGGAAGCAAAACAAAAGGAATTGCAAAGAATTGAAGATGCCAAACAAAAGATTGCTGACAAAGGTAAGAAAAGATGCAATAGTCATTCAATTTTAATTCCAACTCCAACTGATCAGTCCCTTAATAGCCATTTGAAGTTATGACAGACTCTCTCCCTCCCCCAGGTCACATACAATCTTGTTCCAAAGTTATGGTGGCTGCAGCACCCTCCATATCCTTTTCCCTTACAACCAACCACAGTGATACTACAGTTCCCCCCACCTCTCCTCTCATCCTATTGGGACCTTGCAGTGCTTGGGCCTGCTCTCCATGCCTCATAGAAACAGGCACTATTTGCGGTACTCCAACACTTTTTTGTGGAAATGGTAACTGCTTTTGGAGTTTTCTACCCAGATCAGATGATCTTTGGGAGACTGCAAATTTCTCCGGGATCGTGCTAGGCTTTGGAAAAGCCAGCCACCTGCATACAAGGATGGCAGCTTTAGGAGAGGCATCCCAAAAGAGGCTTTTTCCTTCCTTCCCCTCCCACCAAAATCCAATTTCTTCAATAAAGAAAACAGGGGAGAAAAGTTGGGAGGGACAGACTTGTTGATCTTTCTTCCCACTCCTCCACCAATTAGGTGCTGAAACTAACTCTCTGCTTCCAGTGTTGATCCCTTTTCCCACCTCATTTGCTAAATTTACTGAATGCCTGGAAAGAGGGTGACAGAATCTGTAAGTTACTTATCTTGGTGAATGACTGCCAGATTGAAGAGTAGAGGAAAGGAAGGAAGGGAGCAAAGAAAATCTTTCTGCAGCTTGGGTTGAGGAGCTGAAGAAAAAAATCTACTCAAAAGAAAAAAATGACTAGGGCAAAACACATGCAGCCATCAGCCATGGCAGGAGCTGGGTTCTTGGAAATCTTTTTGCTGCTTGTCTGAATGCCTTTACAGGAGTCCTAAAGAAAGAATGTAAAGAGCAAAAAGCTTTTCAAATAAGGTTCTGAAGACTCTCTTCAAGATCCATCTAGGAATGTTCTAAAGGCAATCAGGCAAGCAACAAAAGCATTTTGCTTAGTGTTTAAAACAAACTTGCAAATCTCATTCCAAATTGTTTCTAGACTTTTGAATTCTATTATTGGCTTGTAATTGTTTTTCATCCTTTTAAACCAGTGATTCTCAAATGTTTTAGGTTTCCTTCTTAAAAATGATACATGACCAAAGGAGCTTTGGCTTATGTGCATTATATCTACCAATATTTAGAAATTTTTAGAATATTTTTAGAAATTAAAACTGAAAAATTCATTTAAAACTTTTAGCAGTATTCTAGTTGAGGCTGCTTTCTTTTGAAATGCAGAATACATTGTGTTTTATTTCATGCTATATTCAATATATTCAAAATAATAGATTCAACCACTTCTGACATTTCTGATCATGGGATCTTTCTAGATTTGGTATTGAATCTATTATTTTGAATATATTGAATATAGAATTGCAATTTATTCAAAATATATCAAAATATTTCCAAGAGTTGTACAGTTATCACTTATATTTGTTGTTATTTATTATTTGCCGGTCTTACAAATTTTACATTTGCTTAAATGTAAGTATTTTACCATAGGATATAGGCTGTTGGTTAAATGAAATGTTAAGGTTTGGCTGCTCCTTTGATAAGTCACTTAAAAGGTATAATTCAGTTTGGATTCAGTAGACCTTTTACCCACTTAATGAATTATTAAGTGTCTGTGGAATCACAAATAATCATAGCTTGCAGCATTTTCTAATGCTGTGGAGCTGAATCATTGTAGACTGAGGTTCTGAATAATGTTCACTTCCAGTCTGGCTCAAACTGTAGTCCTTTAATTGCTTCAGTCAGCAGCAAACTTTGTCCCTGTTAGATTTCAGTAACAAATGTTATATAAAGGATCTCAACTCACTTCACTTAGCTGAGGCACCATTAATTGTAAGGATTCCAGTGATCCTTTGTCTTGAGTTTTCATTTCTCTTCACTCTTCTCTTTATCCTCTTACCCCTATTTTAGGCTTGACTGACCAACTTCCATCACACTTTAGTATGGCTGCTTGTGTCATCTCAAATGATTACATCAAATGAGTTCCTAAGCACCCTTTCTTAGTTTTCCATGTTTAACAAGGCACACATCTGTTGATGGAAAAAAAGATGATTGCATTCAGCCTTTCAAAGGAACTCGTGTTTAATTTCTACCTACACTATTTCTGGTATCCATGTCTATGTGAATATATAAATAAAAAATACATGGAATTACCTGTTACCTGTATTCCTGAATATTATTTTTCTTCCTAAATCAAATGTAGTCTCCATTGCTTAATAATATAAAGTATTCATTCACTTGATTTAGATAAAGCACAAGAAAAGCAAGATACTTTCATAGAAAAGCTAATTACTCAAGTTATAAGAAACCTTCAATTGAAAATTTCCAACATCCATATACGATATGAAGATGACGTAAGTATATGTGCATAGAATATTCAGATAAGTTGTAAAAATGTGAATGATACTTTAGATGGTTGTATACATGGATAATCTTTGTTCTGTTCACCCATAAAGAAATTGATTGTTGAGATAGTTAAGTCTGTGCTGTCTTTATTTGTCTATTGCATCATAATTTTGAAAGTTTTAATGATATGATTACAAAGTTGCATATCAAATTATTTCTTTAAGTACTGGTGTAATGCTGGGAATCGTTTTGAGCAAATGTTTGAATCTTCCCTTCTTTCTCTGGTTTTAGTGGATTGCAGAACTAATGACTATATACATTCCTACCCTTAGATTTAAAAATAAACACAGCTTTTCTCTGCCTGGAGCCCATAGTAATTATACAAATGTAGTTCAGATTTGGAAGGTACTCTTTTATGCAGCAGTACACTAATCTAAAATACATACACATAAAGGAGTATGTGTAGAATAGAATACTAAGGATACAATGTTGGAAATATTAGGCTGAAAGATATAGTTAAGATACAAAGTTAACTAATCTTAACCCAAAATTCATCTTAGCAATTCATATTCTAGTTTATAAAATCAATACTTATACATAGAGAAATTGTCAAGAAATGTCTGGTTTTTTTTATTATAAGGCACAAATGTGACATAAAAGGCACAGATTTTACATCCTGCATGTTGTATACCTGTATATACTGGTATTACATTGTTGCTTATTGAAAAATATTTGTGTTTTGTTTTTTGCAGATCACAAATAAAGATATTCCATTGTCATTTGGTATCTCACTCGAAAATTTTAGTTTACAGGTATTATCATTGCTCAGGTTTTTAATTAAAAACTTGTTTCTATTTTTGAGTGTCTTAATATGTATGTAGCCTCTTTAATCTTAATAATTCAGGATTAAATGACAACTTCAATAGTCAACAAGACATACCTTTAAAGCACAAGCTTTATGATTTAAAATGAATAAATATTGAATATTGAATAACATTGTTTGCATTATTTATAAAGAAAAAAGATCTGAAATTTGGGTGGTCTCCACAGAAAGATTATTTTTATACTTGGGAACTGACTAAGATTCTTTCATTCAGAATTTACTTCTAAATATGGAACACTGCACAAATTCATTTAGGTGTTCCTTATGACAGTTGGGGAAAATCTTAACGTTGTTTTATCTCATAAATAAATAAAGTAATGTTAGAATAACTTCTGTTTCTATTTCAGACTTCAGATCAGGATTGGAATCCATGTATTCAAGATGCAACCAATAAATTGTTCTATAAGGTAGAGTCTTAGGTGGAAATCCAATTGAGTAGAATGTGCCGTGAGACACCTTCTGAGTTTTGTGTTAATATAAAGCACAAGGGAGGTTTCATTCTTTTGCTGTTTGTTTCACATATTAATCTCATTTTGAACACAAATCACAACTACACTGAATTGTTACATGGCAAGTTTTTTATGTGCATATGGTAATTTTGACACACTGAAGGGACTAAAAGTTTGTTGGATTTATGACCTGCTTTTTATTCAGGAACTCAGGGTGGTAAAGTTGATAAATAAATTGAAATTATTACATGGTTTAGTATAGTATGATAACCAGTTAATGATTCATAGACCATTGGTACATGTAACTATAGTGATTTATTTACTTTTCTGATAAACCTAGAAATAAGAAATAAAGTATAGCAACCCCATTTTTAACTGATCCAAAGATTGTTTCAGTTGGTTTTGAATTAAGTAAGTAAAATCAGGTAAACATCAAAATCTGAAGAAGTGGCTAAATGTTTTTTATGAACTACTACACAAGCAAGAACTTTCTTCAGTCTCATAAATAGGAAAGCAAAGATGAAAGGAAGTGAGGGCTGTGAGAAGGCCAAGGGCTTGGTGGGCTGAAAGAGCCTGTTCCTTATTGTCAAAACTAGCACAATGAGAACAGACACACAGGCCACATTTTTTCATTCTTTCAACACCCTTGCCTCCTTAGTATTATATGCTATATAATCATATATACTTATTATTTATATACCGTACTTAACTACCCAATTCAAAGGAAATTTGAATTATCTTCTTCCAATAACATTTTTAAAATCAACGTATTGTTGACTACTTTATTTTTGTTCTATGCTTTGTGTTAATTATGAGGACTTTATACCAAAAGTGTATTTTTTTCATTCATTGAAATGAAATGATTTTATACTTGCAGTAGTATGCATTAGACCCATTCAGTTTTATGTTAAAACTTCCTAAAATCTATAATTGATCATTAAGATGAACCATTTTATTTGCCACAGTGTTTGATATCTCATTATAGTAGCCTTCTTTTGCCTTCCAACATGTTGGATATACTGTTGAATTCTCTACCTCCATACGTCTCAATTACCATAACATTTGTTGGAAATATTCTGGGTAATTTATCTAATTCATGCTTAACATTGAATTACCTTGCTAGTTATCCAGCAGATCAGTTCCTCATGAACTACCTAGATGCTTTAACATAGAATCATATGCAAGTTAATATATGATATTCTTAAACATTTATGTCTATTCTTAGATATTGGTTAATATATAATATATAATATAATGACAAATAATGGCATATAATATAATAACATAATAATATAATATAACATAATATATGATAACATTATATAATGACATATAATATAATATATAATATAATGATTTAATTATTGTTTCAAAATAACTGTAGGGCAATTTTTTCAGTATCACGATCAATTAAAATGGTAGATAAATATATGTGACAGCGCCCATAAGTAAAGATAATTTGCTTTGAGGTTAGGATTGAAGAAGAAATAAATATACCTCTTACTTTCAGTAATTATGTTTTAATCTATGTATTTTAAGAGTTCTAAGACTTTGCTATGCTGCAGCAGTCCACTGGGACTTACATAGACAAAATAAAGACTAGAGCTTAGAGCAAATTATGACCACGTTCTACTCCCCTTGTGGAAGGCTGGTTACTTTTTAAAAGAAAAATCACAGTGACATACCAACCTGCTCATGACAGTCCCAGAGATTCCGAGCCATAGTTTTCAAAACTATTGCTATAATGGATATAAATATTTAAAACATTTGAAAATGGAATTGGATATCTTGCCACATCTAACTCGCTGCAGCCAACTTGCCACAGCAAACTCGCTGCGGGACAACTCAACACATAAAACTTTTAAATTAATTTCACTGGAACTGTGGCCAATAATAATTACATAAATCCAGAAATACAAAAGTTACAATAATTTTGACTAAAATGGTCACCAATAATTAAAATAACTGAATGAAATAATACAATGTTGTATTATCCTGTCCACCCCATGCTAAAGCAGATATACTTTAAGTGTTATTTTAATATTATCTTGCTGTGCTGTTTGAAATTTTAGTTTCCTTTTAGATAAAATAAAGTGATTTATTCATCAGATGAATTGTTGTTTTATTCAAATTTCATTTGTAGGACAAAATAGAAAAAAAAATCAGTTCTGCTGCTGGAAAATACTAATAGCCACTTTCTGATACATTTTGCCAATATTATTCCTGATGACCAGAGAATAATTCGATGAATCTTTTAAAACATAATTATGATTATTTTTAATTCTGGTACCACTGTTTTTATTTTTGTTGTTAATTTCATTATCTATAATACAAATGTATTTAAAAATAAATACACGGGAGAGGTATTCTTTTTTGCTGTGATTGTCCACAACTGAGAACTAATATTTGTTACATGTTTGCATGCATTTCAACTTGTTCAGTTCTCCTTCACACACACACACCCTCTGCTGGGCCACCAAGCTGCAAAGGTTGGGGATCGCTGCTTTATTTGATTAATTTCAGTAGTCCCATTTACATGTATTTAACTATTGTCAAATATATATTAATATTTGTAATAACTTTCCTAAACATGCATACATATAAGATATTAGACCATGATAATCTTAAATATGATATTAGTAATTTCTATATATATTTTTTATTTCAGTTAGTTCGATTGGACAACTTCTTTGCATATTGGAATGTGAAGTCTGAAATGTATTATCATGGTGACTATAAAGAATCCTTGGTGAGTAGACGAAGTTAATAAATCATTTTCAACTATAAACAATTGGACATATTTGTTTATGTCCAAAACGAATTACAGTTCATTTATATTTTTATACAGTATCTTTTTAAACTTAAAAAAATATCATTAATGCTCTAGTCTTATGCTAGTTAACTTTTCAAGAAGCACCAGTGATATGAGAACCACCAGTTTCGTATGGTGATTAAGACATTAGGCTAGAAAGCAGGAAACTGTTCTAATTCTGCCTTCGGCATGAATGAAGCTGGGTGACCTTGGGCCAGGTACCCTAAGAAGGAGGCAAGGACAAACCTCTTCTGGAAAACCTTACCAAGAAAGCTGCAGGGACTACTCAAGGCAACTGCCAGGAATCAAATACTCAAAGACATTAAAAAAAGGTTCACTGAACTTAGAAAATTTATAACTGTTTTCTCTCTTTTCAGCTGATCTTGGGAATAGTTATTATGTATGAAGATTAATATAGGCATTAAATTGAGAGAAACAAAACAGATTTGTATGGTAAATATTGTACAGCTGTCTGTACAATACTCATTTATTAGCAACTCAGTTTCATTGTAAAATGGTCCTAAAATGGTCTTATAGTAAATGGTCCTAAAATAAAATAATGAAATAATATAAAATAAAATCAGTGTAGAATTATAAGGCTAAGGTGAAAATAACTTTGATCAAAATCAAAGTCATTATCTTAGATTTTAACTCCAATTTAGTACTAAGGCCAACCTTCTCCAAATTGTAAAATAATGTTTGTTAGGGATCCTAAATAAAAATGCAAGATGAAAAAGATGAAAAAAAACTACACTTTAACAGGAGAAAAAAGTTTAAACGATTAAAAGTTTGGAACTTAGGTTTGGCATTTTTGAATTCATATACAGGTAATCCTTATTTTATGTCCAGTTGTTCAACTGTTCAAAGTTACAGTGTAACTGAAAAAACGAGTGTATGACTGGCTCTCAAAATTCCTGATAGCTTACTGCCCTGCAGTCACATGATAAAAATTTACAGCTTCCTCACTGCCACCCAGCCCTTCCCACCCATGACCCATTCCCACCTATGACACCCACCCACAGTTACCTATTGCTCACCTGCTATTACCTGTGCATGGCACTCACCCATATAAACTCATCTACATACATATCAGCCGACCTCAACTTTTTAAATCCAATTATTATGAACAATGTATCATGCATGTATAAGCTGACCCTCAAATTTTCATAATTTTTTTATTTGTCGGTAATATAAAAATTATACATTTTTGTGAGATTTGGGTTAAAATTTGAGTGTCAGCCTATCAGTGGATGGCTTAACTGAGAACTTATACCAGATATACAGGTACTTTAAAAGTATTATTATATATACTTATGGATAAACTCATCAGAAAATAAGCCAAATGTAATTTTGGGGATGTATTTTTGCATCTAAATTTTTTAGTTTATTCATAAGTGTGTAAGTACTTTTCCTCAGTTTACTTGGAAATTTTCAGTCTTTCAACCAAAAACCTTAGTAAGTGAAATATTTTAGAATTTTGTCATATCCTGGGATATGCCATTGCAGACAAACCAAGCAGTATATTAAATGCTTATTAATATTATTCTCATTTAACTATCAAGTATGTATATTTTCTGACCAAAGACGACAGTACATATTTTGAATTGGATGTTACTTGGGATTATCAATGAATTGCTTCATTAGGGAAGAATGCAGAGAAGAGCAACAAAGATGATTAGGGGACTAGAGACTAAAACATATGAAGAACAGTTGCTGGAACTGGTATGTCTAGTTTAAGAGAAAGAAGGACTAGGGGAGACATGATAGCAGTGTTCCAATATCTCAGGGGTTGCCACAAAGAAGAGG